CCACACACACACACCTTTTTTACAAAAAAAACTTTTCTTTAATTAATGTTTTCCTTTTTTCTCTCTCTCCACCTTTTCTCTAAACTTGTACCCTTCTTCTTCCATCCAACAACCACCCACATTGTGCTATACCACCATATCAGTCGCCTCCTATCTTCACTTCCTCCATCCCCATCCCCACCCCACCACTCCATAGCAAAACAAAGAAAAGAACTCTAATTTTCGTGACGTAGACAGAGAGCTCACCGGCGAAATTTTCCGGGCATAAAAGATTTGGTGCTTCCTTCGGCCTTCGTTATAGGTTGTGAGGGAGAATAAATTTTCCGGCGTAAAAGATTAAGTTTACATGAAAACTTTCACCGCTTCCTTCGGCCTTTCACCATTTCACCATTTTCCGATCTGATTCTTCATCCATGGAGGTGGTGGGGATAGGCTGCAATAATAACAAATTCCATTAGAGTTGCAGAGAAATGATATTATGTGAAATCATTAGAAATTACCTCAGAAAAGTAGAGAGGGTGACTTTAAATGGCTGCACAATATACAACAATGAGGTCATACCGGAAAGGGTAGCTGCTGGAAATTTGGTTCCTCAACTTCTGCGGGGTTGTGGGGAAAAACGAAGAAGGCTAAGGGTGGATGAAAATGAAAAAAAACCATTGTAGAAAATATTTAAAAAAAAAAAAAAAGAGTTTTTGACACACCATAAGAAATTCACTTGAAATGAAGGGGGGGGTGGGTAAAGAACGTCCGATTAGTTTAAGCGTTCAAACATATTTTCGGGACAAGTTTAAGGGGGACTTTATGTATTTTGCCTATTTACAACTATAACTTGGCATCTCTGTTATTAACTATTTGCAATATTTTTTACTCACGCCATCAAAATAAAGCATAGAGTCATCCAAATATTATGTGTATTAATCAAGAATAGAAATATTTAGAAAAGATAAAAAGCAAGCAAAAGAACTGCCAAGCAAACTAGTTTAAGTTTATTAAGGAAATCCTTTTTTACTCTTTTGGTGTNACCAGTGCACTAAGCTCCCGCTATGCGCAGGGTCCGGGAAAGGGCCGGACCACAAGGGAGAAACGAGTGTAAAAAAGGCAACCCAGTGCACTAAGCTCCCGCTATGCGCGGGGTCCGGGAAAGGGCCGGACCACAGGGGTCTATTGTACACAGTCTTACCCTGCATTTCTACAAGAGCTTGTTTCCACGGCTCGAGTGTAATATAATGTTCGTAGGCAATTATGAAAAGTTAACCTTAATAAATAAATACCTATGTGTCATAAGCAATTATGGAAAGTTCATTCTGGAATATAATGTAATACTTACATGAGATACGAATATCCACGGGTTTGATTCCAAGGTCTTCTTGTTCTTCTTGAATTCGTGCAGCAGAAGCCTCCAGTTTGGTTGTACAGTCAGTTAACTCAATGAGTTGCAGTGAGTAAATATCTGCAAACTCAATGGGTATCTCTTCCAACATATGGCACTCTCTAATCAAGAGGCGCTCAAGGACGGGAAAATTGTCATCTGTGGCTTTCCAGTACTTGAGATCACAATGCTCAATTAGCAAAAGCTTCAATCGAGTAAATCCTCCTTCAATTGGATACCATTCTTCGCCAATACAAGCATTCCACATCAGCTTCAGCACCTCAAGGTTAGGCAACTCACCTACAATGTTCAAGTCCTCCCACCTTACAGAAGTTTCCTCCAGCTTTAACTTCCTGAGTGTTACTGGAAAAGCTTTTGCACTTGGAATAGTCGCTGGTGAAATCCGCCAGTTTTCTGATGAGTCCCACTTACGAACAAGTGCAAGACTCAATGTTTCAAGTTGATGTAGATGGACAAGATTGTTGAAAAGTCTAGATTCTTGAAAGACTTTATAGTCACTGACATGTCCATAGATTACTAACTTCTTAACATTCTGAATCCCTGAAATAACCTCCTTTCTGCAACTACTTGGAGACAAGCCAGAAACAGTATGTATGTTTGAAAAAGCCAAGTAGCTCTCCTCGTCATCAGATTCCCTTGGAGGATTTGACAAATAATATTTATGTAGTCTTAGCTGCCTTAATTGCATCAGTTCCCAAATTTTCTCCGTAAAAGTCACATATCTAGGACTATCCCGTTTAACAATGAGTGTTTGCAGATTCCATAATCTGTAAATTTCTGGAGGTACGTAAAAATCCTCGCCGATGCCGGACAATGCTAGGTACCTCAACCAAATGAGACATAGTATCTGTGGAGGGAAACTTTCTAAGTCTGTGGTAACCAAGTCCAAGATTCTAAGTAAACTAAAATGAATAAGCTCTGAATTGAGAGTAAAAGTTGAATTAAACAAAAAAGAGAAAATGGAACGAGTTCGTTTTAAGAGAGTGTAATCATCATCATCTGTCTGCCTGCTTATCAAATGATCATGTTCGGGGGTAAGAAGGGCCAAACACATTCTATCATCAGTCCATCGGTTAAAGGGCTGCATTTTATGCATACTGAGATGATGACATTCTGGAGAAAAAGCATGGCTTTGAGCTTCTTTTGCATCTGAATCACCATCTCCACCAGAATCATCAACTTCATCCAAATCATCTTCTTCATATGATTTATCAAAAACAATGTCTTTCATGACAAAAATGTCTTGGCTTTGAGCTAATTCTCTCAAGCACAGATCATGTATTAGATCATGAACCTTACATGATCTAATTTTTGTGCCATCCAAACTTTTCTTCCAGACAAGAACTAGATGTCTGTCGATAAGATCTTGTAAGCACTTCTCAGCCTCTCTTTCCAAGTCTTTTTCTGACTTCAGGAAGCCCTCAGCCATCCAGAATCTCAGTAAACTCTTCACCGAAATCTCACTGG